AAAAGTTAAATATACCCTTCAAAAGATAATATTTTCAAAAGATGTTTTATATTTGCTTCTGATAGAAAACAGGTTGTAAAAATACACGATCATGATGACTTTTTGCCCTGATGGACTTTTGAGCACACTCCGACGTAGGGATATTTCTGCAGTTGTTCCCCATTATAAGTTTAGATCGCAAGAAAACATTTAAATCAAGTGGTCTGGAATGCATTGTACTTACTAACGTTAATTAATTGAAGAACAAACGCATTGCTGTATGGTTGTTGTGCTTGTGTGGGAGGAATGTTGTTAAGAGTTACAACTGTTGACACAGATAGACTGAATATTTTCATGATTCATCACTTCTTCCAGATGTGGAACAATGTTAGTTCACTTTATGTATACAAGCAAGTAACCTTTAAATAGTTCAAACCACACACATCAATACATTAAAAACATCGATATAATGTCCCTCGTTCCATTTGCCACCCACCTACCGCCAACAAATTTCAAGGTCATTATTATTTCTTTTTTTTTATTAAGAATTATTTTATCCTGTTCATATGCAAGGTCACTTTTGATCTCTTCTTATTACGATTTCCTTTATATTTTCCCTTCAATTTATTGCCAAACATTTACACAAAAAATGTTTTTTTTGCAAACAGCCGCAATATAACGAAGTTTAATTGTACAATTATGCATATAGTTTTTTTTTCACTCTGAATTAAGAATTCCTTTATACTTTTCCTTCAATTATCGCCAAAGCCCTTTATAACACGAAATAATTAAGGGAAGAAATTGTACATTGTACATATGTATAGGTCATTTTTTCCTCTTTTGATGAAAAAATATTCTATACTTTTTCCCCAATTTATCGCCAAACCCCTTTATTACACTTAAACATTCTCTAAACAAATAGTGGCAGTATAACGAAGTTTTATTATACAATTGTACTGTATATCAGAGAAACATTCATCTAAGGTCATTTACCAAAGTGGATATTCATTGCGATCAACAGGAGATTATAATACATTATATACTGATGTGACGGAACTGGATTAGGTCTATCGACGGCTACTAAACATCTCAATTGGTTAGAGCATTCGTCTACAGTTCAAACGTCACGGGTTCGAATCCAGGTCTGACGGTTCATTTTTCTCTCTCCCTCTCTCCTGTTACTTGTACATTGACAAAGATAAAATCAATCTGATATTGTCCCAATAAATACTTATGCATATATAAATATGCATGCTTTATATCAACATAATGCGAATTTGTTCCAGTATATTAATTGGTGATACTTTTACTCACGTACATGTAACATTATAAACACAACTTACGTAAGAAGACAAATACAGTCAAATAATATGTAGGTATGTGGGATACGGATATTCTACCCTCAGGTTCTGACACCAAATTCTGCACCCGAGGGCAGAATATCCATTTCAAATATACCTACATATTGACTGGCTCTTTTTCGCCCACCCCTTAACTGCCATTGCGGTAAAACACGGTTCAGCAAACGCAACACTGTTTGTACATTACATCTTCCGTCTTTGCGTATTGCAGAGTTATCTTCTCTTGTGAGCAGGTATTGATTGTTACGTCATTGGTTTGTGTGAGAAAATTGCGTCGTTTTCTCAAAAATTAATGACGTTACTCTCAAAAACAAATGACGTAACAATCAATACCTGCTCACAAGAGAAGATAACTCTGCAATACGCAAAGACGGAATACTAGCTAAGGGCATATTTGTAAAGAGCAGAAAAAGGTACAGTATATCGTAGGTTTACCTCAAATTCAAAGCTCCATGCAATACCCTTCTAGGCAAGCTTGTGCAATAACTAGTATATACCTGAGGTGGTATTACGTGTCGATATATATCCGAAATTCTGACCATTACACCATCACGATGTTTTATTGTTGCAATGGTCAACATCTCGATAATCCCGACATGATCATAATGACTGTTGAGGTTATGCGGTTCTGGATCACAATGTATAGTTATTTACATGGGAATGAATTCACAGATATTATAAGATATTAGACAGTGCACAGTTACAAAAGGTAGTTCGCAACTTAAACCTTAGGATTAGCATTATAGTGATAATAATAATAATCAAAATACGAGGTTCTTATACACCGCTTTATCACAACCTAGTTCGTAGGTCGTCTTAAAGCTTTTCACAAATTATTATCCGTGGTTATAGAGCCTTTGCAACCAGCCAATACCTTTCTCAACTCACTGGTGAGCATACAGCCGGAGCTGCCATTTCGGTGCTAACAGCTAGCATTCAACAATTCTAGCACTGCCCAACCCCGTACTCATTTACAGCTGAGTAGACTGGAAAAAGCGGAGTAAAGTATATTGCTCAAAGATACAACACAGTGCCGTGCCGTGACTCGAACACGCAACCCTTCGGTCACGAGCCTGGCGTCCTACCACTAGACTACCGTGCCTCCCTATGTATAATGTATATGACACATTATACTAAGGAAGATTAATATAATAGACAGGCGGTCTTCATAGAAATGTTTTAATACATACTTTTCGTATATCATTAAGGCTATTGGCCCTTATACACAGGTAGTATTTACATGTAAAGAAAGTTATACCGTCATACGATACTGCATAGAGCTTTGAATTCACGCATGGTTATTATTCACGCAGTGAAGAATTCGTGGATGAGAATGGTGCGTGCTATGTTTACACAGTGTAACGTTTAAACTTTAATTGTGCTCTCATTTGAAATACTGCTGTAGTATGAAACACTGTACAGTCTCCGTATCAAAAATTTGAACATTAAGCCTATGCTATAACGTGAATGGAACGTCATCTTATTTTGCTATAATTTAATCTTGCTTGTAATAAGCATTTCCATTGGCTTAAACAATTATGTTATCATCCCATAACGTAAAAAAATGACGTCGCCATTTGCAACGACGCTTTTGATTGGTTGATACAGCGGCGCAATAATTTCTTAGAGAAAAGAGTCCATCAATAAAAGTGGATTTCCACAGGGATTGTGTATAGTAGATTAAATCATGAGGATTAACTTGAATTTATTTTTCATGTTATGGAGCTATAACACAAAATAACCGGTTTATTTAGAGTACACTCCGTTTTTTTGTGTTATAGCTCCATAACATGAAGATATATTCAAGTTAATCCTTAAGCAGTCTTCTAATTTATGAGGCTATTCGTCAATAACTCGAACTGTATGTTGCACATTGTGAAACTATCAGTCTTTGGTCTCAAACTGAATCTTACAATAATGTCCAGAACTTGATTTTGTTTCGCTGTCTTGTTAAATCAACGGCTGATTCCTTTAGCAAAAAGCACGAAAATTGTCCGGTATACGGTAACAATAAGTTATCATCGTAATTAGCTGCGTAGCCATTGACGCCAAACTGCACATCACTGATAATTCGTGGGGGTTATATTTTCGCTACGTTAGCAACTTGAAAAATATTCACGAATATAATCCCTTTCCGTTAAAAACTATTGACTGACAAAGGTGTTGCACAAAATGCAACATTGGCAGAGGGTTTTTTTCCGTCAAGGAAAACGCGAAAGATTGGCCATGCAAAAACAAGGCCCTTTATAGAATAAGACGGATGGAAAAGAGTGAGGTTTATAGATCACCTCGTATGTTTCTGTAGACAGTATAAGCAGACATATGTTCTTTATAACAGAGTCAGCGTCATCTAGAGAGGTAGCAGCTTGCTTGTCATCAGCGTGTCTGAGTACCTACGGTGACTGTCAGAGTCTGAGATCATTGACCCCGTAGACAATACCCCCTTACGATGTGCTAAAACGGTTAACATCTAGTCACACTAGTCAAAGTAAATTTCGTTGCTGACGAGAACAAGAGTCTCGGTGACGCCTCATGACATCTTTTTCGGTTCTCTGTATGGTAATCCGAGCTCTGAAGATGCATTACGGATTATTTCGTGTCAGGGATGCTGATGCTTGCCTCACAGCCGTTTACCATCAAGAAAACAATATCCGTTGTTATTTTCAATTTTACTGGAAAAAGATCCCCCGAAATTCGCACAACTTTATATTTGAACGCTTATGTGGTGAGATTGGAAGTTTGCGCGAGTTAATCCTATATGTACCATGAAAAGCGTGCACGAAAAAACTAAGGCCGCATAAATTACCATGTATATAGTTTTATGTTTTATTGTCTTGTATTTAATTGAAATTCCAAAGAAAATGCAAAAGATGCCTCTACAATAAAACCTCGATATATTGCCCCTCGTTCCATTGGCCATCTCGCTTACCGACAATAAATTTCAAGGTCACTCTTTTCTCCTTTTCGTAAGAATTAATCTATACGTTTCGATCGCCTAACCCATTATAACGCCAAACGTTCTCTCGACGAATGTTGGCATATAACGATGTTTAACTGTATATCAATTATCTCTAGGTTTCGTATATAATTATTGCCATTTACTTCATTGACGTCCGTTTTGCGTTGCAAGGTTCCCATATAACGGTGTGCAATGGTTGAGTGAATACACCATTCATTGAATATTTGATAGAATCCACTGTTACACAACGCTTGACTGCAGACCGGTAGATTAAGATCGGCGACATTTCTATATATTCATACATGTGTGTAAATGTGTGTATAGGTTTAAGAGCTCCAAAATTGTGTGTTTTCCTAGAAACAGTGGATGGTATGGGGTTGACTTTATTAGACACTATCCCATACTGCGCAGAAATTTAACAAGTAACAAGGAAAGCGTTATCAAAATGAGATTAATGCGGAATAGATAAGTTTACGCTGGATTAGCCCGACGTTTGCAATAATCAGCATTTAAGGTGATCAATACTGCAGTACCATACAAGCTGTTACAAAGGCATCAATTTACGGAAGACAAAACTTGATGGTTAAGGATTACTACACAACAATATATTAGACTATTTGGACGCTGAAGGCGTTTTGTGTTACTCCTGGGAGCGCGTGCCAGAAAGCAGACGACCAAATCCGTCTAGATCCCTGTTCCGATTGGGCCATTTGAAGTCATCACTACGCTGCCAAAATACGATGCCAACCAGTGAGAATGAAGGCATAATGCAATAAAATTGTATATCGCGGCCGAGAAGGTACATCTAGCTTAAGCATTACCAAGCAAAGGAGTAAGCATAGTCAGCGAGGTATCTGTGTAGCTTCCTTACCGACACAAATATTGGCACTTCTAGTGTATCAGTGTATTATTCATATTAAGAACACACGACCTTTGATGAATAGCATTCTTACACCAACATACGTGTCGACTGTGACGCGGCCATTTTGTACACCTTTAAGTCTTAAAAGACACGTGTTACGGTCCATTAAAACCGTAGTCACCAGTACATAGCGAGAGTTAGTCGATTTTTCGTAGGAGAGCACCGGCATCCAATGAAAGGGAGATCTTAGTGAACACAACGGGAAACAGCAATTGCTGCCTGTCTCTATACCGTGTACGCGGTCTCACTTCACTACAGGCATGGTAACAAACCTTTAATATTTCAGTAGGGCCTGCTACATACTCTAAACATGCATTAAGAAAAAAGACCATGTGCCTTATAAAGCGTGTTTCCAGGTGTTAGTGTGAAAAAGTGAGGATGCCTTCAGTATGCTGCTTCGATTGGAACGTCTTCAATCTTCTACTCATCTTGAGCGGTAAGTTTTACCTATCAACTTTTACTTATGTTTAACGGTAATATATAGCTAAAATATATTCGGATCTACATTGCATTGTATATGATTGGTTTATGCTTTACGTCTACAATAGTATGGTTCATGTTCTTTCACCCGGACAGGTGTTTTGCTTGAGTTCACACCTGGTCTACGTTGTTAGATAACAGAAACTTATTAGCGTGGCTTATTGTATTTTTTATCTTCAATAACAACTTATCGATCCGAGTGACTTTGAAGTCGAGAAATGATAACGTTATTCTAAAGTTCTGCTCCACGTGTTCGTCGCATATGAGAGAACTACGGTACTTAGCGATGTGTTAGTGAACGGAACCTTTAACTACAAAGGAATATATCAGGACGAAATAAATACCTGACGGATTCATTCATGCGTATTTTGTAAGCACAGGTAACGAAAACCGACATTGGTTCAGAATAAACAAAATTATTTCATAGAACAAAAGATATTTACACTATCGGGAAGACTGTTTCGGTATAGGTCCACAATGCAATGGATACATGATACCGTAATGAACCAGCATTGCCATTCTCAAATATACCGTCGTGACTGAGATGCGTGTAATTACATTATACATCTACTCTCAGCTTCTATCGGTCAAGGCCCGTGTTTAGATACCAGCTATTATACAGACGGGGAACACCCGAATTCGAACTAAATACACCACCAGTCAATATATTGAACGTCACCTTTAACCTATACTCGGTCCGTGTTTATTGCGCCGATTGTTCCACGCTTTGAATGAGCAGAACCACCAATTTGATGCATTGTGTGAAACAAAGCCATTCCACGTCGCTACGGATATACGCATTCAATAAAGCTGACATCAGTCATTAGTGTCCAATGTGGCGTTATCTTACACTGATAGAAAAAAAGACGAAATATTTACGTTGCAACATCGTATTTTCCCCAACACGGTGAATGGGCACTGTTGTAACATATAATTCAAGGTCTGGGTTAAAATCGTTGTAGCTTCGTACATTCAATTCAATATATAATTTACGCATTCTATATAAGGAAAACATCAGGGGCACTGATACGATGCACTCTGTCCGTTTGATTTTGACCTTTGCTGGCGGTGCCGCGTTTAATGTTGATACATGCGTCTAATCTCCGGAAAACTACCTTTGTTAGAACCCTTAACGCTGAACAGATATTGTATTTGTTAATGTAATTCGACTGCAAACAGATCTTTGTCGGTCAGAGATATTCAAAGAGAAGAAATATGTTGTATGTGTTGCTCTGATTGACCGCGTGTTAGCGTGTACATTTGACTCCGGTTGAATTATCGGGTCGTGATTGAAAGTTGCTTTATTTAATACAACAAAATCTAAAAATGATTTTGTTTTTAGATTCGGTAGTATTCAAACACAAAGCACAAAAAATGACAAGAAGCATTTTAGGAATATTTACAGCACTTGGAGACGCTATCCCGCAGAGCAAGAAGCTCACTTTTCCTGTAGAAATAATGATGCCGTACCGGAAAACCTGTCAAATTCCATAATGGCTCGAAAGATGTGACGATATCAAATTATGTTGTAATCTTTAAAGTGACACAAGGACTTGTTTTAAAACATCAACGCTCTTTCAGTGTTTCGATATGCGAAACTTATTTCTCGGTTCTGTTTTGTAAACACTTTACGGAAGTACATAAGTAAAAAGTGATCGCATTTAGATATAATAAGCAAGTGATAGAGAGATGAAATGAGTGACTTATATGTGATTCACAAAAAAACACAACCTTTTTCTCTTTTATATCATTTCTTCTTTTTATGCAGCAATCAAGAAATGTTTATTCAATGTATTGGTATATGATTGAAGATCTAATAGATGTAGAAATTCTTACAAAAAAGATTTTGTTAAAAGCGATTTTTTTGGCCTAATTGCATTAATCATATCAAAATGATCAATATTTCACAAAGAAATAAACGCTAACAATTAAAATATGGTTTACATTTTTAAATCTTTCTTTCAAATTCACAAATGAACATCATATTACATAAATACAAAGGAATTAATAAAGGAATGTGCTATAAATATTATAAATCTTTATATCTCTTCACATTTTGTTTTATGGTGTTTTTAACAAATTTCCAAGTTTGCCATTTGTTCATAGTGCGGAATGCAGAAATGATAGATATATTCACGCTAGTCACCATAACAGCAGCAGTTTTTCTCTCATAATAAATAGCATCTGATGATATCAACCAAAATAGAAAATAATTTTAAAATAATGAGAGTTTGCGACATGAAAAGTAACGTATTTTCCCTGTTATTTAATAATCTCAAAATAACAAACACGAAGAAGATATAATAAAGAAATGGATATGATGATTTAGACGGCCGACAATGAATGACCGATATATATCTCCTGACTGTCTAACTCGACTTAATTTCCAAATTATAAAAAAATAAGAAAAATGAGCTTTCGTACGTTAATAATTTGAAAATAAACTAACGACACTGAAGGCAAATATGATTAACAGCATTCACGGTCTGAGGGACGTTTTTCTACAAAAAACAGTTATGACCTTTTCGAGTGATCGAGGTCATTCCTAATGACAAATCATACTGCGTAGGATAATTGGTTAAAGTGATAAATTTGCTAAATAAAAAATCTTTGCCTAAGGCTGTATATTCAGAATTTTATGTCATAATACTTCAAATATGTTGGTATATGTCCATTGTAATAAATATGGTTGCCGTAGACATAACTATTTGTAAAATTTAAGCATCTGATACTATTTCGTGGATGTGTACCGTAAAAGGGAAATTCGGAGTCAAACGGCACCAATCTCTTAATTGTCACGCTCCATTGTTCAGGAGTGAATGGTGAAAAGTGCTAATCAACGTGCTGATTAACAATTAACAACCAACTCTGCCGTTCAATGCAAGTCCTGGGAGTTGACAAACATATGCTTTCGTAGTAGAAACGCTTTCTTGTCAAATGTCCCGCGCTATAGATCGAGAATGCTTAATATCTGCACCAATGTATGCCAAATTCTGCGATTCCGAAAATCAAAAACCCCGTTTATGTTTTATCACTGTAGATAGACAACATTGTCAAGTTATCTTGTTGTTCCATTTCTGTCGATGGGAATAGGGTCGGTGAAACGGCGAAACTAAAGTGTACACAACTGTACATTTTATACAGGCGTGATCTGATAAAAACATGCAAACGGTTATAGGCATATGGTAAACAGATAGGGCTAGTCGTGTTGATGGAAGCTATTTGGAGCGGAAATAAACACACTATCATTGATAACATATGTAGTTCAATGATGTAGTTCATTGATTGCCGTGTTGCTTTATTGATGTGGTTTAAATAAGAACCTATCCACGTTCCAAACATTGAAGTCGCATGTTTTGTTTATATTTTTTCATCGTTATTTATCATAGTATTTGTCTCACGCTGAACACGTCGGAGCTATCGCAAGGGTATATCTATATATTCGACCGTAAACACAGAAAATTCTACATGAAAAACATAAACAAAGGTGATAATAAATTTTGCACTAGGTGACACTAATTTACTCAAAGCTATTATGACTAGTAGCAAACATATGTATTTCACAACAGCCATCCTCACCTTAATTGTTAATTATTTATTTCGAACCTTGGTATCACTATTGTTTACAAATGTAAGGTTATTGAGGACTACTTAACAACAGTAATAAACAGTCACAAAATGCATTAATTATGTATATAATGTTCCTGAACGTAAGTGAATAATGTATAAATATATATGTTTATGCAGTTTCTAAAACAGCTGGGGTTGGAAATATCAACTGATGAGTCCTAGGAGTACGAAACATCAGTATGGTGTAGTGTAATTCTTGTTTTGGCAAAATATATCAAATACCAGATTTGATAGTGCAAACACATGTATGTGTCTAATGGTCACATACTTACTGATTGTCAGATTTTCATTGACATCATTTCAAACCCCATGTATAACTTGACTGTAAAAATGTGTTACACCTGATACGGGTCATCTACCTAGTCAATATTATATATATATATATATATATACAGATTTGTATATGTACATGTAACTGTTCTGTTTCACTGTGTCTTGAAAAAGGAGCGGATCGCTCCGAAAATTTGACAACCTAAACTTGTCCACACTGTTGGAATTACTTCTTTGCCCCATATATACAGGTATAGGTATATCTGTACTTGCTAACCAACCATTGTTTTTCATCTCGGGAGCAACTTTGTACCAAACTTTGAAATTATAACATTTTTGTCATCCATATGATCATGCTTTATTTTGTTAGAACAGCGGATATTATATTAATAATAGGATGACATGATATGCATTTCTATACACACATATCCTAGATAAAAGTATATAAATAGCCAGTGCATTATGATACATAAGCTAGTAACAACGCTTCCAAACCGGGGTCATACTGCGGGCTGTAGACAATGACGTCACAATTTGGGTGTGAACTGTATTCGTCGTTGTCCGCAGCCTCAGGGTTCGGTGATTGTACAAGACTAGAGGCTGGCTAGCTACAATTACACATTATTACACAAACAGAACGCATACTCACTACAATACCTTAAATGGCAACTTGCCTACTTTTGCCTTATCCCGGCGTCACATACAGACAAAGAATCATTTTACCATGAATTATACAACTTCTTTTCTCTGCAATGAAACCTCGACTACTACGGTATTTGGCATCAGACTCACAGACAGTGATCGTTATTCTCCACAATAAGAATAGTACAATGTATTCCTATAAGGTCGTTTATATTACAGCCACTGAATATGTATGTGGATGATATAGCTGTTCCACAAATTGGTTGATTGGCCTTGTATTCTTTGTTAATCTTACAATATATTGACTTTTTTCATTGTTATGTATGCGTCACAGAACTCGACAAAAGCTTCAGACTAATTTGCTATGCAAACCTGTTCGTACAGATATTGTCAGGTACGAAACATCATATACAA